TATATGTGTGTGTTCTATTAATTGTTGTCAGTTGTTTTCTTTGATGCTACTACGGCTATGAAACTATCTACTATCGTTGGTGTGTGGTTCAGAGTACACTGTGTGGTGGTGTTCTGTAGTTTTTATATTTGACCTGAAACTATAGTTGGTGTCTGGTTTAAAGTATACTAGTACACCACCCGTGTATTACACGGGTGTGCTTGTCAAAAAATTATTCTTAAATTTTAAAATTAATGAGAAAATTTTATTTAATTTAGTTTACTTTTTTACAAAAAAAAAAATAAAAAAATTACTATATATTTTAGAATGATATGTGTTACTTATGACTTACATGTGTTATATTATATTAGTTTTTATAATTTATATCATATAACTACTTGAAATATAAATATATTAGTTGATAAATAATTTTATTTTATAATTAATATTGAAAATAATTTTATTATTGTTATAAAGATAAATATAAATTATTTTTTTTATACATACAATATGGATGTTACAGCGAAGCTCATCAAAAGAAGATTAATTTGATATATTACATATGTAAAACTGATAAAAAATACAAAAGTTATTAACTTTTAAAATATATATACAATTCAATAGTTATAATAAGAAATGATATTAAAATGCTATTAATACATGTAACATGACCATAAATAATCAACATATTTATGGTAATCCGAAACCTAATTATTTTTGGTTTGGAACTAAATTAAAATTTACCCAAGCCTAATAACGAAGCATGTCATTTTGCCAGATATGATTCCGAAGCACCAGAAGCAGCCACGTAAGCTCTGCGCGTTCTGGATTAATATATAGGGGGATTGTGTTGTTCTGTGCATGGTTGGTTTATGGTTTGTAAATTAAGAAAGCTTATAAGCTAATTAAATAAAGCTCAGGGGCGTCTCCAGAAATTTGGAGGTTCCAGACAAATTTTGCCTTTTCGAATTTTTCAATTTGACCTTGCGTGGTAGGGCTATTTGTAGATAGAATCATACCAGAAAAAAAAATTAATTAAACAAAACTATTAAATAAATAGATAAATGAAAAAAAACGATTTTTCTTATTTTTTTAGACTTTGGAAAAATTATCTTTAATAAATTATAAATTGCATTCAATCAGTCACGAATACAACAAGGAGGAGAAAATTAAAAGCCATATTACAATAAAGAATATTTACTTTTATCCAATGAGTTCTGACCGAACATCATAATAAAACAAATGAAAGTACATATTTTGTTATTAGCCCCGTCATTAATTAGCTCATTCATTTATGTAATGGTCTAAGTTCTTATTTAGTCATCAGCCCGTTTATTTATATAATTAAACAAAAACAAATGCAAATATATAACATTAAAAATAAAAATAAAAATTGAGGACCCTAATAATTGAATGCCTTAAGCATGGGCCTATGTTGCCTCCTCCTAGAGCCGACCTAAAATAAATTATAAACTAACTTATTTATATACCGAACACATATTTAGAGTATGTTGTGTTGTTCTATACGTATAGTAGCACAACAATTTGTGTTGATCTTCATATATTTGTTTTTACAAAGAGTGAACTTGTGAGTACAAGATTAATATATACATATACATATATATTTTAATAATAATTGTCACTCTCCAATTGTAGTGTAAGTAAAGTAAATATTGTTTTTGCCAACACAAGCACTCCAAACAATTTTATGCTTACGAAATATTGGAAAGCCGAAGTACTTTTTTAAATGTTTTTATTCACCATATTGCAACAACAACCACATAGCCTTTTAGTTCTAAATAAATTGGGGTAAACGGGAAATGTTACGATCTCATTACAGTACCATCCAGTTAGGTATTTTAACCGTTAGAATCACGTATAGTTAGATAAAATAGATAATTCAACAGTTAAAACACCAACAGGATGGTACCGTAACAGAACTGTAATATTTCTCCAAATAAACTATGCCAATGTGCTCTTTAATAGATACAAATAAAAAAAAAATAAATAAAATGTCAAAACTAGAAGTCCTTTTTAGTATGTGTATATATAATTGTCACGGATAGCACCAAATAATTGACTGGCTGCCTTCGGTCCAAACCCTTTGCGTACGATACAAGAAATTGGAGCAATCAATAATAATGGACCAAATTTTCCTTTGACATTTTATTCTGCATGCATTATTAATTTTTTTTTTTTCACAGTTGACATCTAGAAACTAAGCACCACTTATAACTATAAAATGATAAAATGCTATTAAATAATACTACTATTAGACAGATGTACATACTTTTTTCAACATATATATATATATTCAGAAATTCTATAGAGCCATTGGATTGCTCCCTTGTGGAGTTATCCATAGTTTTATGCATTGACATGTGTCCAATGTGTATTTATTGCAGGACACGTGTCAATACACCATTTGTAGATAACTACTGATGCAGGAACGGATCTAGAAAAATAAACTAGGGAGGGCAAAGTTTTTTTTTTTTTATGATAGACATATACTTAACAACAAAGATACGAAGTTGCAATTTTGGAATTAAAGAAAAAGGTTATAATAAAAAAAATACATACATTTCTATTAGAATTGTGCTCGACGTTCTTTCAAGTCACGAAACCCATCAATGATTGATTCGGTACTAATAGATCTTGCAATTTCTCTTTCGATGAAGATAGTCAAAGAATTTAAAAGAAAGTCATCTTTCATTTTACTTCGAAGTCTGGATTTAACAATAGCCATAGCCGAGAATGCACATTTTCTTGTCGCCGTAGACACGGGAAGAGTGAGAATCAGTCTGATTAATCTATCAATCAACAGGTAAACCAAAGAATTTCTACTTGTTGTCATATACTAATAGATAATATAATAAATAAGATATAAATAAAAGAACTTACAAATATAATTATCCAGAAAGAAGATGAATGCTCAAATCTCAATTGATTTTTCTTTTTTTTTTTTT